GTACTTGAACACCCTGACGAGTGATAATATTTTCCCTCAAATGTACGTCTACGCGTGTAAGGGTGTACGCGATATTACGGGATCCGAGGCATCTTTTACAGATGCGGCATAGTTCTTGTAAGTTGTCGCATTCTATAACACAGGCTTTGCCATTTTCTGGTGTTGGTTTTCCTTTTGGGCCACAAGAATGGGAGTCAGCAAAATAGTATTTGTCTTCACCGCGAAATACGCTAACAGATTTATTTGACGCTGTCAATATTCCTGAAGAATGACTATCAAATAATCTATTTAAAGCTGTATGTAATGTAATGCCGATATTATTGGTATTTACAGAATCTTGGAGACTCCCGAATAAAAGAGTGTCTTCATCATATTCTATAGAAAATCGGCATTCATACATTTGTAAACTTTGCCTGACGATATGAAAGTTTCGTATCTCTAAATATCCTGTTTCATCCAGTTCAGTAGGATCAAGCTGGGTACGAATCCAGCAATATAAGGAGTCACCCGCTAACATATTAGCATTCAGAATATTGACGTCCCATTGATTAGGGCTTAGAATTGCAGCTCGGACAATGTTCGCCAACGACATAGCACTACATTGTACACCAGCATATCGCGAAGTAAAGACGTTGTAGTCACCTTGATGCCATGAAGCTCGAATAATTCTTGCAACATTATTAATTGGAATGAATGCATTTCGAATTTCATTTTCATTCCTTTCGGACGCTTCATCTTCAGACAATTCGGGCACACTAAGTCGTACTAACTCCTGGCCACTAATTTGGGCATTGTCGTCAATACGTACATCTTTGTAAAGCGGGTTATTTCTGATTAACCATCTTAAAGCACTATAGACTTTTTCGCGACATATTGTGAATTCCCTGGTGATGTTCAAATTTTCTAATCGTTCGGTTATTACAATAATGCCTACCTGGCTTGCAGATCTTGGTAGCATACTAGGCAGTCTTTCACTAACTTCAAAGATATCTTGGGCAAATAAAACTGCCTGTCCGCGAAAACCGTACTGCCCATAGAGGCCACTAAATTTCACGATTTTAACAAAGGGAATTATTCTGCACAGCAAACGTTGTTCCGCCTGTGTCAATGTTTGAATAACGTCTGGTATAGAACCTGGATCCAGATTATTCCAGTAAGCTTTTGGTGGTGCTGTTGTTTTATTACTAGTAACATGTGTTTGACAGCGGGAACATAATAACAATGATATTTTCGAAGTTAACTCCACAGGTAAGTATGTTAATGCAGCAGCGTTGTACCGAACTGTACGAACTTGATTAGGATAACAACGTTTGGTACAAATATCACAAACATGTATACAAATTGTGTTAATAGCATTCTCGAATGCCTGCAGATTATTAGCTCTGCATTGCTGGGTACGCTCTCGTTGTTTATTTAACCTCGTATCGCAATGTTCAGGCGTTTCTGAACCCAACTGCTGTCTTTGTCTTTCACGGCTTTGTATTAATCTAACTTCATATTCTTCAGGCGTTTCTGACGCTACCATCTGTGTATATCGCTCCCGTTGTTTTGTTAACCTGGCTTCATATTCTTTAGGCGTTTCTGACGCTATCATCTGTGCGTATCGCTCCCGTTGTTTTGTTAACCTGGCTTCATATTCTTCAGGCGTTTCTGACGCTATCATCTGTGTGTATCGCTCACGTTGCTTTGTTAACCTGGCTTCATATTCTTCAGGCGTTTCTGACGCCGTCATTTGTGTATATCGCTGACGTTGCTTTTTTAACCTGGCCTCAATTTGCTCAGGTGTTTTTGACGCTAATTGTTCCCGTCGTTTCTGTAATCGACTATTTCTATCACCTTTACTTTCTTTAGCTCGTTTTGCTTTATACTTTTCTTTCGCATTTTGAAGCCTTCGTTTACGTTGTGTTGCAGTTTCTGTTTTATTTGTGTTTGTATTTTTTATATTTTTTTTACCATTTTGTTCCCACGAGTAATGGACATTTAAACGGTCGACCCCCCCAGAGGTCCAATAAAGGGGCAAGGCTATGTACAACAAGATGCGCCTGAGTCTTGAGGGGAAAACGCTAACGACATATCATTTTTATCCACCCTAATGCCATACAGTTCTCGGCGCGTTTTAACCTTTCACCTTAACTTGGGTGGTGTACCGCTAACGACGTATCATTTTTAGCCACCCTAACGCCACACAGTCCTCAACACGATACAAAATCTTGACTTGGGTGGTGGATTCAGGCTGGATTAATCAGATACCTAAATTACAGATTCAATTTCTAAATGAAATCTTATTATTAGGCCGCCATCTTGAATTTTAATTTTATATAGTACATTATATTATACTGGTTGAGCACTTTCATTTGATACCCATATTGATGGGATCGATAAAACCTACGTTATCCGCCATTTTGTAGCGGCCGCCATCTTGTATTTCAATTTTTATAGTATATTGTATTCTGCTTGTTGAGCCCTTTCATTTGATACCCATATTGATGGGATTAATAAAACATAAATTATCCGCCATTTTATAGCGGCGGCCATCTTGAATTTATAATGATAATGAATAAACATAATTGTATTGTCACCAAAATTCAAAGTGTATACAAAATTTCAGATTAATCGGTTGACAGGAAGAGGGTGAAATTTGAATTACTAAATTTGACCCAAGAATAATAAATAAAACAAACGGGGTGAGCTAAATAAAACCGTTTAAAAAAGAAAAAGATTTTATAAGAAAAAAAAAAACCGTCCAAGTGCGAGTCGCACTCGCGCACCGAGGGTTCTGAACAAATCCGTAGGTATATAGTTTAAAATTATTAAAAATATTTTTATTATATGATGTAACTAAAAATTTATGCTTTTCGCAATTTTTCCTTTATTTGTGCTATAAAACGTTGCTTCATACTAAATTTTAAGATTCTGAGTTCACGGGAAGTACCCTGTAGGTTTTGATTCTCTTGCGAATGTCGAAAATTTGCGGCATAAACGGCTGTAGCTTTTGATTGCGTTGGCTTAGAAGTTTGATTTTTTCACAGCTCTAAGGGACAGTAGACTTGAGTATTTGATATGAATTTCAGCTTGATACCTTCACGCGTCTTGAGAAAAAGGGTCTTGACGGACAGACAGACGGACAACAAAGTGATCCTATAAGGGTTCCGTTTTTTCCTTTTGAGGTACGGAACCCTAAAAAAACACATTTGAAGCAAATCTCTATACATAAAAATTAATTGCTGTCCATTAGTCTCGCTAAAACTCGAAAATGGATAGACTGAGTTTGGATTCACAATTGGACGCGGTAGGTGGTCGAGATCCAGAAATCACCTGTGCGAAGCCGGGGCGGATCGCTAGTAATATAATAAATTATTGTGGCAAATAGTGTATTTGTAGCAGATTTCTGTTTATTTGATCGCGTCTCCTTTATTTTTAAGAATGTAGGTGGAGATCTCTGTAAAACTCAAAACAAAAGTTGATAATGTAATGTAACCGGCACCAGATCGTTCCCCGGCTCAGGAGATACTAAATTAAAAAACAGGAAATTCAATTAAAGCAGCAATGATGCACCGTAAACAGGGACTAAAATAGGACAAATCGTACTCACTTTTATTTTGCACTCCATACTACCATTACATTTGACTTACGTAATCGTTCTCGAAAAAAAAATGACACCTAAAAAAGTGGAATCCAAGTGCCTCCTAAACAAAGGCAAAGGTATTGTACCATAGCACCAGATCTATTATCTCATTTCACCATTTCATTTTTTTAAATTTGATTCATTATATCTATTTAGTCTTATGCTTGTTATTTAGAATTCTCGTTTATTAACGCACCAAGGATTTATTAGTGTATTGTTGTAGTTTACGTTTTAAAGAGCGAATTTACATTTACCGTACCTTTACAGCCTACCAAACTCAACATTAGCTCAACATAGGTCTTTACCATAAATCGCCTCATATCAGGATACTTGCCAGAGCTGCCAGGCTTGGCTAGCGGGTTGGCATTCACAGTTTATTATTTTTCATTTGTTATCGGGAAGACGCTGCTGCCCGTCTACTGGTTTGTTTCCCTCTGTCGCCTCTTACAACCCCATGGGATATATTATGCGGTAGTGGATATTCTTACACCGCCACTACACCGTCAATTAAATTTAAAAAGCTATACGTTTGCAGAGTTTTTATTGTTTGTTTGTTTATTTGCTTTGAGTATGGATGAGTAACATCGTAAAGGTCTAATCTAAATTTACTATACTTTTATTAATATCTTTTAATTTTGTAGCTCTTCATAGGAATATTGTTATTATTAAATAAATAATGCACAGGAAAATGACAGGGCAGCTTGATATTGTAACTATTTTGTAATTTCTCATTTTCTTTCACAAAAATGTACCTTTACAAAAAGAAAAAAAAACGCTTTTAAATAACTGAAAAGAATAAAATAATATCCACATAATTTTATAACCTCAAGCTAAAAACTAAACAGTTATATTAAAATTTATTTATTTATTTATTTTTATTTTAAAATTTTATAGTCTATATTTCCACCCCCAGAGGTGGTTTTTTCCTCGAATTATCCCATTAAAAAAACAATCATTAAAATTGGTTCACATTAACGAAGATATCGTGTAGATACGGGTACTTACATGCTAAAAAACCGTAGTAGTACAATATTAATTAATGTTAGAGTTTAGAAAAAAAAAAAACATGCGTGTCTTGGAACACAGAACGAAGGTGCTTTCGTAGAACGAAGTTTCGTATTATTATTGATAAACGTATTATATTATTGATTAACAAATACAAATAAATGAATTAGTAACGTCTATTAAAATGAAGCGTCATTTAAAATAATATTTCTTTCATGGCAAGATAAGGAAAGGTGCGAGGGAGATGAATATTATTCCATCTCGCTCGCACTATAGAAAGGGGGTCGCGGCGAAAATCTTACACTTTTTCTCGCCTAGCCCTCATCCGTCAAATTCCTACAAATTCAAAATAGTAATTCTTTTGGCGCAGACAAGAACGAGCCCGGCCGCTTCCTCGGCGAGGGCGTCTCTTTTCGAGCGAAGCTGATCGGCGTGCTCGAAGTGCCAGAAGCTCGCGGCGATAGGATGTGCCAAGAGGCTCTCGCCGACCTCAAGATGGCCATCCGCGCAGCAGGCGAGCACAAACAGAGGATTCAGGTTCACGTGGCTATTGACGGCCTGCGCCTGCGCGATGATAAAACTGGGGTGAGTGCAACTACTTGGTTCATAAGTTCGACAGATATGCTTTATGTAACGAGGAGAGTTCCTGTTCCGACCATGGTGCCATCTTGTGGTGATTCAAGTTGCTCTCTGCCAAGCATGTATATAAAATGATCTCAGTACGACGGTGACATTGAAAGTTCTTAGAAAATCAAAAACTGAACAAACTAGTAAGTTATTACTTGTATTATATCTTTTCAAAATAGTGTCCATTTACATCAATACATCGCTGCATCCGATGGAACCACTGAGAAAAGCACTTTGCCCACTCGTCCTTAAGGGTCTCTTCGACGGCATTTTTAAACGCAGTCACTTCTTCCTCGGCGTCGATGAAACGTTTTCCTCGAAGTTTTTCTTTTATTTTGAGAAATAAATAAAAATCTCAAGGTAAAAATCGCGAGGTCGGGGCTATAGGGCGGGTGACCTAGTAATACCACGTCTGACGTCGCCAAGTAGTCGATTGTTTGCTTGGCGGTGTGCGAGGAGGCGTTGTCGTGGTGAAGGAGGATCCTACTGCGAGGTTGTTTCTCCCGAACTTTTTCCAAGACAAGTGGTAAACAATTGTTAGTGTACCACTCTGCAGTAAGTGTTTTACGATCCTCTAAAAGCGAACCGTTTGGTTCGAATGCGTGGTAAGTCAACAACGAAAGGGTGGAGACTGGCCGAACGTCTGGTTGTCCGATGGTGGAAAGGAAAGGGAGGAATTAAATTGTGAAATTCCTGCGCACACTCCGAAATGCATCCTGTACAAAACCGAAAGGTTGGCTACTTTGCGTCTGTGTTCCAGGCTGGTAAGATGGGTTTTAACCAAATTCGGGTCAGCAATAAGCCTCTTAGCACGCCTTTCCATTGAGTCCAAAGCTGCTAGGTCGCATTTTGCAGCAATGAACCGCCCGAAATTCAGATTTGAGGATATCTCAAACCCTAACAACTCAAAGTGGTCGGTATATTCCAGTGATACATTTCGGAAAGAAGGCTCTTATTTGCAGTTAAGAGACACGCTTGTGCTATTTACACTGCGCTTGGTGCGCAAAGCACTCCTCTCCCTGGACCTTAAGAAGTCGAGTGGGCCTAATGGAGTCACTCCTATTGTGCTGAAGACCGGTTTTAACGTGTCTATTCCGTTACTTCTACTCCCTTGGCGCAGTCCTGAACTCATATAAGATAGCTTTGGTCCACCTGATCCTTAAAAAAGTAAACTGTTCAGACCCGTCTCACTACAGGCCTATTGCCATCATCTCCTTGTTCCCCAAAGTAATGGAATCCATTGCCAGCTCATGAGGTACCTAGAGGCTTTAGCTGGTGATCTTCCGGTCTACCTGACTCATAGATGGGCGGAGGCAGTATAGTCCAAGAGGGAGGCATTGATCGTTAGTTTGGACACTGCGCAGACCTTCGATCGGGTTTGGCACACAGCGCTGCCTTAGAAGCGCCCTTTCTATGGGTTTCCGGAGAAATTGTGCAATTGGATCACCAGCTTTTTTGTAGATCGGAGCATCAAGGTCGTACTCGTAGTATGTCCCGATTATAAGCGTATTAACGCTGGTGTTCCACAAGGCTGCGTGCTATCACCAACGCCGTTACTTCTGCATACAACGACATGTTCCAAACCGATAACATTCATTGCTATGCAGACGGCAGCACTGGTAATGCTATATACACTGGCTGTGCCAATATTTATAAGAAAAACGTCGCCAAGTACCGGAACAAAAGTTGAGACTTTGTTGAACAAAGTTTCGAATTGGGGGTGACTAAATTTAGTCCAGTTCAATCCCCAGAAGACACAAGTTTGCGCATTTACCGCTAAAAAGAACCCCTTTGTTGTATCTCCTCAGTTTCACGGCACTCCCCTTGTTGCATCATCCAGAATCGGAATCCTGGGCGTCGACATATCGAATGACCTGCAGGAAAGAGAAGGCTAGTATGGCCTCTCTTCTCTTCAAAAAGCTTGGCGTGCTCGGGAGAGCGTGACAGCATTTCATGCCGGTACATTGCCTGCAATTTTACAAGGCACAGGTTCGGCCTCACAAGCCTTTACTTGGAAGAGCCATGCTGTAGCTATATTAATAGTATAGTTGTAGTACGAATGGGTCGGCTCGACCGGGGAAGGACCACGCTCTCACAGAATACCAGCGTAACTGATGTGTTTCGTATGGTGAGTGTGGAGAACCGGAGACCCTTTTTACTGGAAAAGAGACATTCTATCTTAGTCCTCACGGTTGACAAAGCATCTGCATTTTAATTCGCAAACGAAGATAAATGCAGATGTCTATGGGCCACAGCAACCACTTACCATCAGGTGGACTGTGTGCTCGTTTGTCACCCTACTTCTATAAAAAAAAAACATGGAATACTGTTCCCATATCTGGACCGGGGCTCCCACGTGCCAGCTCCTTCCATTCGACCGTATCCAGTGCAGATTGGTTCAAATTTGCGGTGATCGAGTTCTTTCTGATCGCCTTGACTCACTGATACTGCGAAGAGATGTTGCATCTCTTTGCCTATTTTTTCGCATCTACCACGGAATGTGTTATGAGGAATGGTTCCGACTTATTGCAACCGCTCAATTCAACATCGCACATTGCAACAACACTCGCGATACCATCCATAACATCTGGATAATTGGCAGTCCACCCCTGTGCGATTTACAAGAAGAATTTTTTTTTCTTCCTCGCACAACTTCTTTGTTAAATCGACTACCACCAGCGATTTTTCTGGACCGATAGACTTTTATTAAAAGGCCGGTAACGCACCTGCAATTTACTTAGTGTTGTAAATGTTCACGGGCGGCAGTCGAAACTAGCCGCATGTTTATTTGCCCACTCTTTAATAAAAAAAATAACAAAGATTTTTTCGCAAGGAATCTTACTCCAGACAGCTCATTAAGTATAACATTTGCACTACGAAAAATGCTATGATTTCATACGGCATAGGGACGGTCTCAAGGTCAACGCATTAAGTGAGCAAAACAAATAACGTAAAACCATATACGAAATATACAGAGTCCAACATCATTTCCGTCATGAACGGACGCATGAAGTGAGCAAAACATACGAACTACATACGGAATATACAGAGTGCCACATCATTTATGTCATGAACGGACGCATAAAGTGAGCAAAACATACGAAATATATACGGGATATACAGAGTGCCACATCATTTCCGTCATGAACGGACGCATGAAGTGAGCAAAACATACAAACCATATACGGAATATACAGCGTGTCACATGCTTATTATCATGAACGGACGTCCTAAATGAGCAAGAATTATTCAAAATTGAATATCGTCCTATCGAATATAAATGGAATTCCTATTCTACTATGATATTTGTTAATAGATAAATTAGCAATATTCACTCTCTAAACATTTAAAATTCTGCTGGAAATAGAAGATGCAATAAGTATCTATCGTAAAAAGACGCAAGAAGTCGTCTGCGATGTATATATGTATATATATGTTTATGATTTAACTGACCGCGTGTATCGAGCTGTACTTTTACGTATAAAAACGTTATTGGATATAGAAGAATAACTGGGTTATTGTCAAATCAAAAGTCGAAATCCTTAAGTATCGGCCTGCCGTCTGTTGTTTTGTCAAAATTGTTTGTTTGAAAAAGATCGTCGCCGGATATAATGTATAAGAGATCTGGTTATTTGACCTTTTGTATGAACCGCAATGTTCACTTGACCTTACAGACAGGTTATGCAGAAAACAAAAACAAATGTTTAAAGTTCTACTTCCGCTGATAATCGTCGGTCATTGTACGAAGAATAAGGAATCGTCAATGGCGTTTATTCTTATTTATTTGTTTATTTATTTAAAAACTTTATTGCTCTAACCATAAAGGTTACAAAGGGTAGACTTCATGCCAGTTACCCAAAAATTAGTGGCAGGCACTAAATATAATAAACGTAAATAGATATAAGTTGCTTGAGTAAGTGGATGAGTTTGTATATTTGGGATGTTTATTTAGTAGGAATGGTAGATATAATAAGGATATAGAACGATGAGTGAACGCAGGAAATATAGTGAATGGGGCTCTACACGCTATTATGAGGAGTCAGAATGTGTCAAATAAGGCACGTATGGCAATTCATAATGCTGTATTAGTCCCTACTTTAATGTATGGTAGTGAAAGTTGGGTCTGGCAGAAGAAGCATGAGAGTAGAATAATTGCTGTAGAAATGCGGTCATTAAGGAGTATGCTAGGGCTGCATCTGAATGACAGGGTGAAAAATAGTGCGATAAGAGAAAAGTGTGGTTTGCAAGATGACGTTGTGACCAGGATTAAGAAAGGAATGTTTCGGTGGTTCGGTCATGTAGAAAGAATGAACGAGGAAAGAGTGACAAAGCAAATTTATGTTGCAGAAGTGAACGACAGGGTCGGGAAGGGAACGCCCTAGACGAAGGTATATCGACCAAATCGGAAAGATTATAGGGATATATCGGATAGATAGGGAAAGATTAGGAGTACCCTTAACCGACGAGCGTGCATGCGTAGATATATGGATGTAAAGGAGGCGAGAGAGGTGTGTCAGGATCGAGCCAAATGGAAGTCCGTAAGCTCTGCCTACCCCTCTGGGTGACATGCGTGAGTATTTATGTATGTATATGTATGTATGTAAATTGATATAACACATTAAAATAAGACTTTAAGATAAAAATATTGAATTGTTCTCGTAATTAAATACTTACAGTATAAACGCTTTGTTAAGTCTTCTCAAGGCTTTGCCTTGAATAAATTGTATAGATTTTTCGTTTAACATATAAACCTTGATGATTAAACTCTTCTCGATACTCGTAATTAAAAGTTTGTTATGTTCAACATTTAACACATAATAAAAGTACATAAATGTTTGATATTCTTCTGATGGTTGTCCTCTTGATGCTGGTTATCCTATCTTATTCCTAATCTTATTACTTTACCGTTACATCGTGTACATGATATATTTTTTATACATGTATGATACATTTTTGTA